CCAGAATGTAGCTGTTGTCCCTGTCCACAGGACTGAAACACCAGAATGTAGCTGTTGTCCCTGTCCACAGGACTGAAACACCAGAATGTAGCTGTTGTCCCTGTCCACAGGACTGAAACACCAGAATGTAGCTATTGTCCCTGTCCACAGGACTGAAACACCAGAATGTAGCTGTTGTCCCTGTCCACAGGACTGAAACACCAGAATGTAGCTGTTGTCCCTGTCCACAGGACTGAAACACCAGAATGTAGCTGTTGTCCCTGTCCACAGGACTGAAACACCAGAATGTAGCTGTTGTCCCTGTCCACAGGACTGAAACACCAGAATGTAGCTGTTGTCCCTGTCCACAGGACTGAAACACCAGAATGTAGCTATTGTCCCTGTCCACAGGACTGAAACACCAGAATGTAACTATTGTCCCTGTCCACAGGACTGAAACACCAGAATGTAGCTATTGTCCCTGTCCACAGGACTGAAACACCAGAATGTAACTATTGTCCCTGTCCACAGGACTGAAACACCAGAATGTAGCTGTTGTCCCTGTCCACAGGACTGAAACACCAGAATGTAGCTGTTGTCCCTGTCCACAGGACTGAAACACCAGAATGTAACTATTGTCCCTGTCCACAGGACTGAAACACCAGAATGTAGCTATTGTCCCTGTCCACAGGACTGAAACACCAGAATGTAACTATTGTCCCTGTCCACAGGACTGAAACACCAGAATGTAGCTGTTGTCCCTGTCCACAGGACTGAAACACCAGAATGTAACTATTGTCCCTGTCCACAGGACTGAAACACCAGAATGTAACTATTGTCCCTGTCCACAGGACTGAAACACCAGAATGTAGCTGTTGTCCCTGTCCACAGGACTGAAACACCAGAATGTAACTATTGTCCCTGTCCACAGGACTGAAACACCAGAATGTAGCTGTTGTCCCTGTCCACAGGACTGAAACACCAGAATGTAACTATTGTCCCTGTCCACAGGACTGAAACACCAGAATGTAGCTGTTGTCCCTGTCCACAGGACTGAAACACCAGAATGTAACTATTGTCCCTGTCCACAGGACTGAAACACCAGAATGTAGCTATTGTCCCTGTCCACAAGACTGAAACACCAGAATGTAACTATTGTCCCTGTCCACAGGACTGAAACACCAGAATGTAACTATTGTCCCTGTCCACAAGACTGAAACACCAGAATGTAACTATTGTCCCTGTCCACAGGACTGAAACACCAGAATGTAGCTGTTGTCCCTGTCCACAGGACTGAAACACCAGAATGTAACTATTGTCCCTGTCCACAGGACTGAAACACCAGAATGTAGCTGTTGTCCCTGTCCACAGGACTGAAACACCAGAATGTAACTATTGTCCCTGTCCACAGGACTGAAACACCAGAATGTAGCTGTTGTCCCTGTCCACAGGACTGAAACACCAGAATGTAACTATTGTCCCTGTCCACAGGACTGAAACACCAGAATGTAGCTGTTGTCCCTGTCCACAGGACTGAAACACCAGAATGTAACTATTGTCCCTGTCCACAGGACTGAAACACCAGAATGTAACTATTGTCCCTGTCCACAGGACTGAAACACCAGAATGTAGCTGTTGTCCCTGTCCACAGGACTGAAACACCAGAATGTAACTATTGTCACAGTCAACAAGACTGAAACACCAGAATGTAGCTGTTGTCACAGTCCACAGGACTGAAACACCAGAATGTAGCTGTTGTCCCTGTCCACAGGACTGAAACACCAGAATGTAACTATTGTCCCTGTCCACAGGACTGAAACACCAGAATGTAGCTATTGTCACAGTCAACAAGACTGAAACACCAGAATGTAGCTGTTGTCACAGTCCACAGGACTGAAACACCAGAATGTAGCTGTTGTCCCTGTCCACAGGACTGAAACACCAGAATGTAACTATTGTCCCTGTCCACAGGACTGAAACACCAGAATGTAGCTGTTGTCCCTGTCCACAGGACTGAAACACCAGAATGTAACTATTGTCCCTGTCCACAGGACTGAAACACCAGAATGTAGCTGTTGTCACAGTGCACAGGACTGAAACACCAGAATGTAGCTGTTGTCCCTGTCCACAGGACTGAAACACCAGAATGTAACTATTGTCCCTGTCCACAGGACTGAAACACCAGAATATAGCTGTTGTCCCTGTCCACAGGACTGAAACACCAGAATGTAACTATTGTCACTGTCCACAGGACTGAAACACCAGAATGTAACTATTGTCCCTGTCCACAGGACTGAAACACCAGAATGTAGCTGTTGTCCCTGTCCACAGGACTGAAACACCAGAATGTAACTATTGTCCCTGTCCACAGGACTGAAACACCAGAATGTAACTATTGTCCCTGTCCACAGGACTGAAACACCAGAATGTAACTATTGTCCCTGTCCACAGGACTGAAACACCTGAATGGAGCTATTGTCACTGTCCACAAAACAGAAATGCCAGAATGTAGCTGTTGTCACTGTCCACAAGACACATTAGCCCATATGAATCATTATTGGTTTATGTACTAGTATTTATATTATGTGTGTGAAAAAATGATGGTTTGTAGGTAGGGAATATTTAGAAAAAATATATTTCAGATTATTGTTTTGTACGTCGAAAGGTTCTGAAACAAATTAAATGCATTTTGACCAAACTGTGTTCGTCGTTTAACAAAGTGCAATCTATTGTCTATTCTTATTTCTTTTAAGGTAGGTGGAATCGGGAACTGATTAATGAGCATGTACATGTAGGCATGCATAAGTCATCGATGTTTCTAGTTGGCCTCAGTAGTTGATCATAGAATCCAACTACCATATGAATACCGTACGTGTGCATTATCCATTATTATTTGTCGAAGGGAGATACCTATATGTGTCCATCAAGTTTACATATTTATTTAGTAACCAAAGGGCACACGCATATATGTATATATATAATTTAAATAAATGCCATAAAGTCTGGTAGAAAATGAAGACATGACACAATCTATTGGATAACACAATGTAACAGTATGACAATAGGTATGCAATTTTGCGCTGAAAATACTCACAGAAACCAATCCATAGCCAAAATTATGTAGAGTTCATTTGTTGGCAGTCCCATAGAGGTTAGAAACGCCATGATGGTAACTATGGCAGCATTAGGGATAGCAGCAGTCCCAATACTAGCAAGCGTGGCCGTCAGACTGGAATAATAATGGTAATAATGTTCCCAGCAATATGAATTTAACTTTGATTCAGTACTGTTAAGTGTCCACTTTCATGTTTTCATTTTCATGCTGATTTTTACTAGCCCGACAAGATGTTACTTTCAACTACTATTGGAAATCAAATATCCAATGCCACCTTTGATCAATCATACTTTCTGTTTCTGTAAATAATAAAAGAATAAAGCCATAAATACATCAATTATTATATTTACATAAAACACCATGACCCACTCCCTGCCATTGCTTCGTTTTGGAAGTAACCTCACAAACTCCAACCCTCCACTGAATCTCTCTCACATGGGTGCGATGTCATTGGATGGCTATTTTAACGTAATGTCATTCGATGGGGGTCAAAACGAAACTATTGCAGCGAATGGGTCCAGGATACTACAATATTCTTAGTAAAGATTCAAAAAATGTAGTGTGGTGGAGGACATTTCCCAATTTGACGCAACAGTCCCCAAAATGAAGCCTGCTGCATTTCCATATTTTGACTTGTACAGTGTGTTCCCATGGGTCTCTGTAGGTGAACAATTAACTTGGCTTTGAGTGTGTTTGTGACGGGTACCACCGGTGAGGCAGGATACGCCCACCTTTCCGCGAACACCTGGTGTCATCACTATTTGATAGTGATTCATAAACACATGCTCATGATATGGTCGGAATCGTACACTGTCTCTGCTTCTAGCAGTGATTTGTTTTGATGATGGAAACTCATTAAGAGTTTTGTCGCTTTTATTTATTCAGAAAGACGTACATCGGAGGAAAGGCCAAGAATATGAGAAAAAACGCTGTGACCGTGGAAACCATTTATGATGTGAGTGGTGATTTTTATAACGGTGTGACCTTTTCCCATACACAAGCCAACTTTATAGCAGCTTTAACAAAAATATTTCTTGTGATTATGGAAAATGTTTGAAACTTTTATTTACACTGACGTGTGTACATAAAAACGCATTTTACCCAAGAGCCATAACGTCAAGTATGGACAGGTGCACTCCGCTGAGCTGAGCTATGTAAACTGGAGTCACGACTTGAACGATGGCAGCTCCATCCATATTGATAGTAGCACCGATGGGCAGCACAAACCGACTGATGGTCCTGTCTATCTTAAGGTTCTTCTCACAACATTCAATGGTAACTGGAAGTGTTGCAGCGCTGGAAAACAAAATTTCATGCATCGATAACATTCACTGTAAATTGAATGAAATTTCAACGTATAGTATTTTATATACATTGTGGTTTCCGAGAAGTTTCCGACCTATCACTGAGGGATTGACGAATAAAGAACATAATTTATGGTAACGCCATTCTCTAAACGACGTGGGTTAATTATAGTTCAAAGGAGCTTACGCAATGAACCCGATGGAGCCTTTTGTATTAATTCTGGGTAGAACGATATTGGTTTGTTCGTTGCTTAACGCCGTACTCCGCAATATTTCATTTACATTAGGGCGATCTGTAGACCATCCAGTGATAGACATCGTGAACATGTAGGATACGATGACATGGACTCAAGCCAAAACACTGAGTCTGAGCATCCGATCAACATAGTCGCAACGTCAGACAAGGATATGCTGTTGGGGACCTATATTCTAACCTGGAACCCCTACCCCTGGCTGGCTACAATGTATTACTGGAATAACCAGAGCCACTCTGAGAACACTGCCCTGAAACATTTACTGCTTGGATACTTTTATTGTCACCTCATCTACAAATGGCAATATTCTTAACTGCGCGTAGGATATCATCACATATATAGCAATGATTAGTTATCAATAATTACAATGACGGACCTAGAATTTGTACCAAGTGCTGTCACAAAAACATGCACTATTCCCAGTGACACCCTGAAAGGGTTCTTCCGTGTCAGGATGAGGTATATCAGCGGTATAATCACAACACTCTGCACGAAGAGACCGGTGATGCATGTGGCTAAGAACATCCCGAGGTGATGGACCATCCCAGCGAGGTCGGACACACTCAGGATCTTTCCAGTGATGAGGGACAGGACGCCAATGGGCGAAAACCTAGAACAACACATGGTGTTACCTGGTCGTTTAAGTGTATGACATGTTGAAAACATTTGACACATTTTCTATTTTCAAATAAGTAAAATGTTCCTGCCTTGGTAGCTTATATACCCTTATATCATTCAGGCTGCAATGGTGGACCAGTCGTGTTTGAATGCTGTGCTCGTGGTTAGATTCCCAGAGTCACCCGATTATGTTTGAAAGCACCATACTTCTGCAAGGTGGTAAACGTCTTAGCCCTGCATCACTTCTGCCTTTCCTCCCCACATGAGTGAGTGAGGTTTAACGCCGCTTTTAACAGTATTCCAGTTAATTCGCGGCGTGTCAGCTTAATGTGGGAGGAAAGCCCGAAGTGATGCAGGTCTCAGACGTTTACCTCTTTGGTGAAACCCACGAACACGGGTATGGTGCTGACAAACCTAGAAACATTATCGGGGCGAACCGGGCCTCCCCACATGAAACTGACATGCTGTGACATAGCTATAGTAGTGTTCAACTCTTCGTTATCCATTCACCCATTCATATGTCTTTGTCAGGGTGAATGAACAGTATATTTGCTACGCTATTAATGACTCTCTCAATATTAATCACTCAATGGTGTAAAAAAAAGTAGTTTCGTCACCTATGTCACTTAAGACATTACCAATGGCAGTCATTGAGCATTTTGTGAGTGAGTGAGTGAGTGAGTGAGTGAGTGAGTGAGTGAGTGAGTGAGTGAGTGAGTGAGTGAGTGAGCAATAACATGATAGGGGACCCTAGAAATGGATTTAACACAATATACCAATGGGGGATTCAAACCAGGGCCTCGGAAAATGCGCTATTGATATATATGTCCAATACACCGTTCATGTAAAAAACTGAAATAGTAGTAGAGATATCATTCATCATTTATCATTTTTTTATAAGTGTTTCCCACAAAATCCATAATTTGAACAGGGATGGAGGGAACTTATAGTTTGAAGCGTTAGTTCGCCACTTTAAAGGCCCAGGCGCGTTTCCCACATTGCCCCAGTATGAAAGATTGCTGAAAGTACAACAATGTATGTTCTCACGTATGCAATGATGATCACTGTTAATGTATTCATGAACTATGCGTGAAAGGTTTATCGTAGTTTTCGACCAAATCCTGATTTGTAGAAAACTCGTTTAAAAGAACTTGTTGTTTTAAACATACTTCACCCATCAGTGAATGAAACTGCAGCTAAATGACCTGGAGGACTTACCACATAACGATGCGCACCATGCCCATCGTGATCTCATTCAGTTCCTCAAAGAACTTGAAGACGACTCGACCTTTATGTCCCAGTTTACCAAGCATCGCCCCAAATACTGCACAATACATCAACATCCCTGTAAAATATTCACAAAATACTTTTCCTGAAGATTTGCAGCTGCTTTATGAATGCTCTCGGTGGTCGTAGTGTAGTCGGAATCCTATTTGGATTCGGATTAAGGAAAGGATTTTGTGGCTTTAATAATAAATATTCGATACCAAATGACATAAAAAGTTAAAAGTAATCGGTACTTTGCCGTAGAAAGTTCTATGAGTCCTTTTCAATGCAATGTGACATCGAGTGCTTGACGTGATGTTTCCCAAGCAAACGGATCGTCTGCTTATTAGGAATACACGGAAGCGCAGAGTTATTGTCTTTGAAACCAATAATCAAACTGAATATACACTGAATCCTGTGTTCATGCTGCTACGTTGACTGCCACGTTTTACAAATTTCAATCTTAGAAAGAAATCTATGTCCAGACACTGTGTAAAGTCAAGAAATCGAATCCCATTAACATCATTTCTTAACCAATCATATTGTAGCACGAACACTTATGTTTTATTCCAAACCTGAAGATACAATTTATAAACATGTAAATATAAAACGTCAATGCCAGTTAATAATCAGTCCCGATTATCTATCAGATTCCATTGGGCCAAAAAATACAAACAACGATGAAATGTTAAACCATATGAACTGATCATTGAAATTCATTGACACCATGTGTTCCCCAAAAAATAAATAATGCAGTACACATATTATGAAATTAAAGAAACGGACGTCCCTAGTTGTTTGTTGTTTTTCTGAGAAGCTACAATCTAAGCTTATAACTCGTTTGCATGAAGAACACAATATATGTTACCAATAAACACAACGTTTACATACCAAGAACATTGAGCCCTGGTTTGTTGACGGTTTTGGCTGTCCAGATTGACATACTTTGGTCTGTAGTATTTCCCCCATCAGGTTCTACCAGAGGCGTTGAGTTACTCTCCCTGTAGGACGTGTTTGTTACATTCTGGTGCATGGATTCATCGGGAGATTCCCTCTTGACATCGTTAAACTCTTCCTTGACATAAAGCGTGAATGTACTTTGAATTGCGGAACTCACGATATTGTCTGGAAACAGATTTCTGAAAAACAAAGGCGAATGAGGGAATGTTGTACGCCACAGTCATAGAATACCATCTATATAATGTAAACAATCGAGTCTGTACCAGGCAAGCCAGAGATTAAAACATGAGTGGGTGAGTGAGTGAGTATGGTTTTACGCCGCTTTTAGCAATATTCCAGCAATATCACGGCGGGGGACACCAGAAATGGGCTTCACACATTCTACCCATGTCGGGAATCGAACCCGGGTCTTCGGCGCGACGAGCGAACGCTTTAACCACTTGGCTACCCGACCGCCCCTTATTAAAACATTAATAACAATCTACAACCAAGCCACACATTGTGCCACCGTATTTCATGAAAGGGAGCCAAAGGGCGAAGGTCTTTTCATTCTCTTTAGAGATTTGTGTGAAGCTGAAACATTGTCCCTGTGTAATAGCGCAATAATAAACTTCAATATTGATACATCAAATACTTGGTATCACTATAGCCCTTCTTCCTGAATATTTATTTCGTATATCAATAGATACACGTATGTCTCCAATATAGCTGAAATATTGCTAAAATATCTATAATTCAATATTTGTGTTCAACCTTTGTTTATTATTTATGTATACATATACAGATTGGTACATGCAGATGTTTAGAAAGGTATCAGGATGTTGCATTATTTCGTAATGCTTTGTCCTTTCTCATATTCATTGAAGAGTTAATGTAATCATATTGGGATTATGGCCGTGTCCGTTGAGGAGATAATGCAGTTATAGATTACCATATGCATATTATAATAATAAATAGCATCGATGACACATAAAAATGACAATTCGATGTTAAGCCATCTCCCCCTCGATCACCTGTAACCTTAACAGATCAGACCTAGACCATACTAAAATGTTTCTCTATCTATTTCTCAATTATAGCATAAAAAACATATTTACATAAAATATAGCTTGAACTACTTTGTTGTATACTGTTTCAAGTTTGGAAGAACATATCCGGCAGCGGCATTAATAACTGTTCTAAGGAAGGTATTTTCTCCAACAGTATGGGAGATGCAGACAAATCCAAAACAATGTTATGACGTAGAAGATAAACAACTTATATAATCATATATTATTTACCATGATGGTACATAAATATATTGCATATCTTTCGGATAATGCGACTTTTCTGCATTTCAATAGGTTTCAACCTTAGGGTCTGGAGACGAATAAAAAAATTGACTTGACTTAGAGTATTCAAGCGGTGGAGCAGGATGCGGTCACCTTTCCGCGAACTATATAGTTATGATACAGTCAGAGTCGTACAATGGGCTCTTTTGGTTATAGAAATGGTTTTCTAGCGTTTATTTACACCCAAAACCTTCGAGATATAGATATACATATTTGAGAAAACATAAGGCTTGAATGTGCCAATCCTGCTTAGATGTGTGATAACCTCCACCAACCTCCTTGAATTGTAAGGTCTGATATACAATTACCCACATTTTCCGTATTATAATAAAAGCGTCAAAAATAATCATAACATGAAACGTCAACGCCAGAGAATAACCAGTCTCGGTTATCCGTCGAAACAGACTCCATGCAATCAGTTCAATCAATCGTTATTTAAAAATACTGAGAAAGTCATAGCCCTACATCACATGTATAAAAAGTAGTTGAGGGTACATTTATACAATAGAATATATATCAATAGCCATGATAATTTGTAAAGTACATCAAGTCGTTGAGTAGCTGCCTGTTTTCTAAGATTCATGGCATGAAAAATGAACATTGACAATCCTTTTATTGAGAAAGTATTTTTAGTCTTCATTGGTAATGAAGATATACAAGTGAGGATCCTTGAAGTAATAATCATTAATGGATTGGTTTCTAATGTCAACATAATGGACAAACAAGTAAAAAAGTGATATTTATCTTCTATATTATTAAAACTACACAGTAAACGGGTTCTGTCTTCTCCTTGAATGCTGCAGAGTCTTCCTGATTTAATAAGGAGATCGTGACAGCTAACTATTTTAATGGCATTCTAGATTCCCATGCGATCAAATTGTCTGCAGTGTCTTAAGTGTAAAACGTACTGCTAACAGCTTCAGTAGCAGAGCCATTAGTGATGTCATTTGATTGTGACGTCATGTAACCAATGATCTGCAAAGCATTGTGATGCAATTTCATTGCAGCGATATCGACAATGTAGATACAAAGCGATATCTCCCGTGGGAGCCAGTTTTGGGATGATAAAAATGAATCTTTAAATAGCATCGATATTTCTGAGTCCCTACATTTCGGTTCGATACATCAAAATGAGCCAAATTTTAGTGTCAAAAGATATTAAAAAAATATTTTATAGGTTACAATTCCAACTTTCTGAAGGTTTTGAAAAAGGCTAATGAAATTTAAATTTAAAACCATATGAATGGATGACTGAAGATCATTGACACAAGGTTTTGCCAAAAATGAAATGATACTGCGGTGCACACATAAAGACATTACAGAAACGGACGTCCCTACAGTCGTTGGTTGTTTCCATTGTACGATTATCATGGGGATGTGTTTAGGAATCACTCTCAACTAGTGATGATACAAGATGTTGGCCAAAATGTTAGCGTATCCTTCCACACTGGTGGCACTCGTCACAAAAACATGCAAAGGCAAGTCAATAGCCGAGGAATGAACAGAATGATCAATATTAGACAATGAACACATTGACAATTTTGCATAAGCTATTTTGTCTTGTAGGGCAGCAACTGTTTAAAGTAATTGTCAACGATCTCTTGAGGTTGAAAGTCAAGGAATTATAAGGGTTGTCAATCGAAAACAAGGTAAAACTAAATAACGTATTTCTGTAACCGTCATCACTTACTTGATGAGATCAAGAAACATGTCAACTGTCGAAGGAGCATGAAAATCGTCAGACTGCGTGTCAGATGACGCCAGTGTACCATGTAATCCTGGTTTGATAATGAACACCAGGGCAAAGCCTACCAGGATAGCTATAACGGTTGTGGAAGCATAGTAGGCGATGGTGAACAGACCCATCTTTCCTGATGACCTGCTGTCCATGTTAGCAATTCCTGTTCAAACATAAAATCACTCTTAAGGGAATAATCCAATTTGGTTTTAAGAGAAGACTACATTTCGAAAGTCACTTCCCCTGTATCGCGAAACTATACTGAACAGCAAAAGAAACGTCACCCCACGTAACATTGCATGAAAAGTTGTCATTTAAATATCTCGGTAAGGTTTGTAAAAAAAATCTAAAATTTAATATATCCATGTCCGGAAATATGTAATTTGATGGTAAAAAAAACAAAGCAGATGACAATAAAACCGATCGCCTAAACGCATCACGGCAAAGGCCATGGAAACCCGATGCACGTGAGTTCCGTGCACATTGAAATGCGCATGCGTTCCCTCATTTCTTGCCGCATAAAAATCCACCCAGATCGGATAAATTTCATTCGACATTGATTTGCTACCACATGCCAAGATTGACAAGAAATCAGCGACACCAAGCCCTTGGACGATTGCAAGCTGGACAAACCGCCCGACAAGTAACCAATGCATTTCAAATCCACGTAAGGACCATATGCAGGCTCCCTGCTCGCCATGGGGACACACCAGCGACACATTAGTGCGGACACCGTGCGTCGACGATTGACGAGCATATACCTCCACTGTCAAAGGCCACACCGAGGACCCATTCTGACACCACGTCATCACCGGGACCGTCTTCAGTGGGCAACACATTGGCGCCACCAGCAGTGGAGAAGAGTCATCTTCTCAGACGAGAGCCCTTACTGTATCTCAACAGCAGATGGCAGAGAGAGTCTGGCGAGGCCGTGGGGAACGTTATTCGGATGCTTGTGTTGTTGAGAGAGACTCGTGGGATGGTCCGAGCATAATGGTGTGGGGTGGAATTAGTCTTGCATAGAGGGCCGTCCCTGTGGTCTTCCAGAACATCGGTCCAAGGAGAGGCAATGGTGTCACAGCAGCTCGGTACATTGATCAAGTCTTGAGACCACACGCCACACCTCATTTGGCACGTCGCCGCAACCACGAGTTTCAGCATGATAACGCCCGTGCCCACACTGCGAGAGCAACAAAAGACTTCTTCCAGCAGAAGGGCATCAGAACTATGCAGTGGTCTGCCCTCAGTCCCGATTTAAATCCAATGGAGCACCTGTGGGACGAGATGACGGCTGAATGACGTCCGACGAAGGTCGACAACTGCGTTCCTCAGAGTGTGGGCCCAAGTGCCTATGGCCTTCATCAACCGCCTCATCCATTCCATGTATCGACGTTGCACGGCAGTCATCAATCCTCATGGCGGAAACACGAGATACTGACTTTGTATGCCATTTTCTCAGAGACTAGTGTTGTGTTTCACTTTAAGGACATTTGACACTTTAATTTCAACCTTGATGATCAGTTTTGCCAAGTTTCATCTTTTCAATATGTCTCAAAGTATGTTTACAGTGTTTGGACAAATAAGGTTGCTCGAATATCTATCCATGGTGACGTTTCTTTTGCGGTTCAGTATATTTCTCGTTACGTTCGTGATAGTGCCGTGAAAGTATCGCGAAAGTGACTCGAAAATGGCGCGATAATACCGCTAAAGTGGCGCGTTAATGGCGCAAATGTATATGTTCTCGCATGGAAATGGCTATCGTCGCTAGTATTCTATGGAACCGTAGAAGGGACATGTTGACAATATATAATCAGGTTTTACTGTCCCATAGCAAGGGTTTTAAAATATCTAGGTAAAATATATTTTTTTTAAATTTTTACGTGCAATGACTGCAGTTAGCGACGTGTATAATGTGACCAATATTTCACTTAAACGAAATAAACATTAGTTTTGTCCAGCAGAAAATGTGTATCTTGTAAGGCCTCATACCGCGTTCAATGGTGCCGCCGTGTGTCCCTAAATGAATGACAACATACGAAATATTAAATAAAAGAAATGAGAATAAATAGACTGGGTTGGTTTGATAGACTTGTGGTTAATCCATTGTCTCGTTACGCTGAACTCCCGGCTTCGACTTCCCAGTACTTCTTGGTATCACCACGGACTTGTTATATAGGTCCGTGGTATCACATATCGTGACATGGATGTTATTATACTATGGTTTCATGATTGGTTTGACATCACTGTATTGGATAAGGAATGGAGATAACGGCTTGTCAGGAGCTGCTTGACCTGCAGCATCAGCTCTTGAGTTACCTGCTATGCCTACATGACTTTGCGACAAGCAAAATCACATTGGCCAGTAGAAAGATCATTGTAAATTTCTAAAATGTCTAGGATAACAGGATGATTCGAGACATGTTGAATATATAAACATACTAAATACATCAACTCGTAAAGAAAGTATATATTAAATTAAAAAACAGCAAAACATAAAGGACCCAGAATGCTCCGAAATTCTAACGCCTGAAGCGGTAATGTGTACATCTTGTCACTGCGTGACCTTGACTTTGACTTCAAATTTAGTATCATGTTCGCAGTCATTGCGGGAGTTATTTTCGCTCACTACCGATATTATTCAGATTCGGAAGTGGAACTTAATGCCATAGTCAGAACTAGCATTATATAGTGCACGTCGACCACTTGGAAGCTGCCAAAAACATTGAGTTGTACGGATGATTTGGCCTTTGCCAGCCGATCGTCGAGTTGAGTCTTACGCCGCTTTTAGCAATATTCTAGCAATACAAGGACTGAACAGCAATGGGCTTCACACATTGTACCCATATGGGGAATCGAACATGGGCCCGTGGCGGGACGAGCGAACACTATTACCACTAGGCTACCCCGCCGCCTGTTGACTAGGGCTACCTTCGTCACTATGGTTATTTGAATGGCAATGGACGAGTAGAATGTCAATAAACTTTGTGAGATTCCTTTGTGTGCAGTGACGGACATCACTGAAAAGGTGTGGGAACTGATCCCCAGATTCCTAGTCAGACCGGACAGTTAGACGTGTGTACAGTTAAGGAAACTCTGCCTCTTCGCGTCACCTATCGAAAAGGGTGTGACAATTTGTGGTATTTTCTAAAAAAATTATGGGCAGCGTATTTGATCTCGCTACCGACCAATGAAGAATTAGGAATATATTGGATGTGTGCAGAACAGAAGAACTAAAGCCTGGTTATTATGGACTGAATTTGACAAATAACGGTGTGGGTATTTTATATGTAGTGACAAAAAACATTCCCGTTGGAATTAATTTCTTAAAAGACAAATGAAGAAGAAGATTAGTGTATTGTGGATGCCAAATACAAGAAGAACGACTGTTGCTTCATGAAACTATAACTTATGAAACAAAGAATTAAGGTGTATGAATCCGAGCTGAGCTAAACGTGATGCATTACGAGTTTTATCAAAAGTTTGTAAGGATAAATCTTTCAATTCAACCTCTTCTATTACTTTTACACATCATAGAGACAGAGAACTGACTCTTGTATAATTTTAAATGAATATTGTATTCGATCTTGAGTGGTCGGAAAGGGACGCAACACCTCAATCTCAATCACCAACTCACAACTCACCCATCCGGACCTAAACCATACTAACATTTCGGTTCTACACAAGTCCCGTCCAGACACATTCCACTGTACCTGTGATCATGCTTGCAACAATCAGCGGAAGTATGAGCATCTTCAGCATCCTCATGAATGTATCTCCCGGGAGACTGATGAGTTGGATGGTGTCCGTGGAGAGATGAAGCTGTCGACACAGCAACCCGATGGTCACTCCCATCACTGCAGAGATGACAGTGAGGATCAGCATCAGGTTGGCCTTCATACAGGTCCTTAACGCCATCTTGATAAAATAATAAAATAAATATAGAATGGCTTTTATTGTCGTTGAAACATTTTGTAAGAATCTTTATGACTATTCCAATTATAACTTCTTTGAGTGGTATTTAGAAGTTGGAATGGTAACTCAGACAAACTTGTTATGGATGAGCAGCTTCTTTATTACAACTGGGCGACGTTTCGGTGTAGATTCTAACACCGTTATCAAGAAAATGATGCTCATTTTCATCATTTGCTTGATGACGGTGTTAGAATCTACACCGAAACGTCGCCCAGTTGTAATAAAGAAGTTGCTCATCCATAACAATTTTGTCTTAGTATTCCAATTATGTAATGTGTGTGTTTGTCATTTAAGTAATCAAATCATTGTCCATGAAAATTCTGATGCCATACCCCAAATGACCTTTTTTATTTTTACCAAAGCTCCGTTCAGCATTGAAATAGCGACTGGTATCTCCCAAATGTCAGTAATGTACATGTATGTTATGCAAGACGTGCAAGACCCTGGAGTAATTCTATCTCGTAGACTTTTTAAGCAGAACATGAATTAAATAAAATTATTGTTTAGCACTGATCTTCAGCGGAGTGAAATTGAAGTAAAACTGGTGATTTTGGCGAATTGTCTCCCAGATCCAATCATAGAATTGATGGCGCATATGGTACATATAGACTGTACATCCTTACAATTCTTATATATAGAGTTTGTAATTGTGTATTCCACATTTCTTTTCAATTTCAAAATACAAAATACAATTGCTTTACATCGGATAGTATTATACTACTTACTTTACTTGTATTCAGTGAAGATTACAATTCACAGACAGCGAATCATCAGTGTGGTAAGACTGCAACATAACTTGTCCAGTCTCTCCAGCCTGTGATTCAATTTATCCCAAAGTAATATTCCACTCACATGCATGTCACTGTGCATGAGCATACTGTTAAAATGCATATAACCTTAAAACGAATTATGATAATATGTCTGGCTTCACTGAGAGCATTTTTTCGTGAGAGCTTAATTATTGTCTATGGATCAAATCTATCTATCTATCTATCTATCTATCTATCTATCTATCTATCTATCTATCTATCTATCTATCTATCTATCTATCTATCTATCTATCTTTCTATCTTTCTATCTTTCTATCTATCTACACACAAATATATTTTTACTGAGACACAGTATTCTTTAAAAAAGTGTAGGGAGGTAAAGAAAATGTCACTAAATAAACTTATTAAAAGATAAAGACTCTTAAATAGATTATATCTATCTATCTATCTATCTATCTATATATATATATATATATATATAGAGAGAGAGAGAGAGAGAGAGAGAGAGAGAGAAAGATACACATCTAAAAATGTCACTAAATAAACGTATTGAAAGATAAAGACTCAGACATAATCTTAAACAGATTCTTTCTAGGGCTTCTTTCTCAAAAACAAGAAGGTAGAACACTACAATAGTGTTACAGACCTAATTGTGGTACTTGCCCTAATGTTTTACAAGATTGTTTATTAACATTCAAAGACGGAAACACTTTCTATGTCCGTAAAGATATGAATTGTGCTTCTGAAAACTTGATGTATGCCATACAATGTACTGGATGCAAAGCCGAATACAGAATACAGAATTCTCTCTTGAAGACTATGCTAGATATTAATCGTTATTTTAATGTGCAGCTGTGATCATTCTTTGACTTAATGTACTACTCTGTCGTAATGATATAGTCATCAAAAATTACTTATTAAATCGGTATTATGTGATCATATATTAATTCGCAATTGTGTACAGTTGTGCATGAGCATACATTTAAAATGCATATAACCGTGAAACGAATTATGTTAATAAGCATTTTTTCGTGAGAGCTTAATTATTGTCTATGTACCATACATACATATGACTCACCTTGTGTATTGAGTTAATGACCTGCGGTGTACTTGTAAATTGAAAACGGGGCTAACTGACGGGCTCTTCCTCCTAATTGCCTACACCTTACGTTAAGAGACACATTTACCGTTTGAACATAATACACCCGCTAAAATGAATAGTATTTTTTTAAATAGATCACCTTTCATTATCCGTTCGTTGTATACTTATCCATAATCCCATTCAGCACAACATATGATTTAAATTTAGGTGTATAGATATTGATTTGTTTCAATTTTATCAAGTGACTCGACACATTCCACAAGTACATTCAGGAACCGAATAACCCATGGAAACAAAATAGTCTAGTGTCGCTAGTTGTTGTGAGTTGAGGTATATTCTGTGTTTACCGAGCTAGTTGAGTTGGCATGGCGTCGCAACCGTCGTGAATCGGGGGTAAGGCATGGCGTCGCAACCGACGTGAATCGGCGGTATGGCATGGCGTCGCAACCGACGTGAATCGGCGGTAAGGCATGGCGTCGCAACCGACGTGAATCGGCGGTAAGGCATGGCGTCGCAACCGACGTGAATCGGCGGAAAGGCATGGCGTCGCAACCGACGTGAATCGGCGGAAAGGCATGGCGTCGCAACCGACGTGAATCGGCGGTAAGGCATGGCGTCGCAACCGACGTGAATCGGCGGTAAGGCATGGCGTCGCAACCGACGTGAATCGGGGGTAAGGCATGGCGTCGCAAACGACGTGAATCGGCGGTAAGGCATGGCGTGGCAACCGACGTGAATCGGCGGAAAGGCATGGCGTGGCAACCGACGTGAATCGGCGGAAAGGCATGGCGTTGCAACCGACGTGAATCGGCGGTAAGGCATGGCGTCGCAACCGACGTGAATCGGCGGTAAGGCATTGCGTGGCAACCGACGTGAATCGGCGGTAAGGCATGGCGTGGCAACCGACGTGAATCGGCGGAAAGGCATGGCGTCGCAACCGACGTGAATCGGCGGTAAGGCATGGCGTCGCAGTGGGGCGAACACGCGGGGAAGAGCAGCAGCGGCCGCGTTGTTTGACTGCAGTATATCGTTAAATGCATAACTTTTAAAGTAATACACATTCCTTTGCCCAGAGACAGACAAAATTCGTAGAGCACCAACGCCCGCCTCGGACAATTTTGTAACTACTCTAGCACGTTCACAGTGGTTTGAATATGTTTGGAATAATCCTGTAGCATGGGAAATGGATGACGCCATCTTGCCATATTTCTTCACAGGTCATAATATTCATACAAGTTCAAGGAAATTATTTCACCGAAAGTTTATGTGGATGCGCCCTCTTGCTTGAAAATAATGTCAGGATGGTGTTTCCAAGGATACATACATACATACATACATACATACACACACACACACACACACACACACACACACACACACACACACACACACACACACACACACACACACACACACACACACACACACACACACACACACACACACATACATACATACATATATACCTACGTACCTACGTACATATATATGTGTATTGCAATTAATATATATATTGCAAAATAAACAGACTGACTTTATTGCATGTTTACCAGAACACACGTGTATGTTGGTTAGCTAAAACTGAATGCCTAAGTAGTTATTGAAGGTGATAGAATAAGCAAAAAGTTCACACAATGCTTTTTAGAAATATATTTCAGTTGTTCATAAAAGTAAGCAAGGGGGGTGTGTGTGTGTGTGTGTGTGGGGGGGGGGGGGGGCGGGCGGGGCGGGCGTGTAGCCTAGTGGTTAAAGCGTTCGCTCGTCACGCCGAAGACCCGGTTTCGATTCAATGGGTACAATGTGTGAAGCTCATTTCTGGTGTCCCCACCGTGATTTTCTGGAATATTGCTAAGAACGGTTTAAAACCCGTCTCACTCACTCACTCACTCTTTGTCAAATGGTCCACTGTGATAATGTCACAAACAGGCATATTCTGGAATATCATAAAACAGTGTAAAACCATACCCACACACTCACTCTTTGTCAAATGGTCCACAGTGATAATGTCACAAAGAGGCATATTCTGGAATATTGCTAAAAACGTTGTAAAACCATACTCACTCACTCACTCTTTGACAAATGGTCCATTGTGATTATGTCACAAACCGGCTCATGCTTCATCTTCCTAATGGTTGCTCGCTAATGTACTGAACATCCATTGTCAAACTTTACGAACTCTGACATTGTTTACACATTCTGCAGGGTTACCGAGCGCATACAGAGATCAAATTATTTATCTGTCCTTATATTTGCAATGTATTTCATCAGGTTTGATTGAGCAATGATGCCTGTGCGTGGTCATGAAAGAAAAAAAGTGACGCACAACTAGTTGATTCGGGTTGTATTTCTCTAAGTAATTCAAATGTAAAAATGCGTAAAATATTTGAAATTGTACACTTTCCTATTAATTTCTGGACCTGTAAATGTAAGGGAAATGTTTCATTTCTAAATAAGGTTTGAAAGTGTAAACTGTTCAAATTATTCCAAATGGTATGGATACGTAAAGCAATGTAATTGTCATTAATTGTGGTTTTGTGTCGCTACCGTCTGTGATATATGGCATAACACACCTGCCTGGATAATGGAATGGTTTGGACACTGGTATAAACATGTCCAAATTGTCACAAACTAGGCATGCATGTAAATAAAACCAAATTATATGAACTACTTGAAAATGTGTGTTATCTAAATATTGAATTACCTGAATGCTGTAAGGCACCTTCAGGTGGTGTGCAGTACTTATGGCAACTACAAATTATCAAGACAGAATCTGTTATGTTATATGTATATTTCAAGTTTGTCTTCAACAGCAGAAATGTACTGAAACTATATGACTTACTTGAGTCCATGAAATGCATATGTGCAACAGGTTGAGATGAAATTAAAACATAGATCAACATAGATAACATGACAAAGTCGTTAATGTGTATTTACAATCAAATAAATCGCTAACAGCTGCTAACAGGCATTCAGAGTCGGTAAGGTTATGTGAACATATTAAATCTTCTATATAATACATAAAGAAATACTACATTGACATTATGATGCTCCTCGTGTTAGGCTCAAATTCG